CATTAGTTGGGGGAGGATGTGGGATACTTTATGGGTTCCCATCCAACAACTTCAAAAAATTTATATTTTCTGTATATACAATAATATTACACCAAATTATGGCTCCAGGAAGGGATTCCAGGGCCAAAATTACCCTAGAGGAGCAGGCTTGGACACATGTAACCCCCCTGTGTTACATGTTACACCCCTCTTTCACTCACAGGTAGGGGGGTCAAGCACCCTTACATGTTACAAGGGTATCAGGTATACATGTCACCCCTCCGGGCCATGTGATCTGGCATCTGTACATCTCAATCAAGTACAATGGAAGTATGCAGGCACAGCGTACAGGTTACCTTGGCAACCTGACATGCGAAGCGTACAGCCTCAAATACAGGATGACATCATGCAGCTTACAAAACACAGCCTGCAGGTTGCTAGGTTGCATAGCAACCGTTGCACAGCTTGTCAATCCGACGGAAACCACTCAACTTCTCAAATCACATCATGTAGGCTGTACCACCAGCCAAAACCCCTCATGTATTCTTCCATCTTGGCCAAATTCCCTCATGTAAGGCTGTACAACCAGCCAAAATCCCTCATTCCTGGCTCCCCTGGAGCCAAAATACCTCATTGTTGTCTATATAAGGAGGCCATTCCTCCCAGTTGTAATTTCTCCTCAGCAGACTTCCTGCAGACATTTCCCCACATACCAGGCAAATCACTGCTCACTCCATAATATTATTTGTTCCCCAATATTTTGGTTTTACAATTATAACAACCCTTACATACAATTATTACAACATCTTTACACATAACAACAACCCATTTTTGCACCTGTCCACCTGTTAAACAACAGAGTATCTTTTGATACACTCCACTATCACTAATTAAAAGCTGCCAATCTAAGATTGGTGGTCTTGTTTAGTGTAGTACACAGGAAAGGCAGAGGTTACCTCACACATCCCTTTCCGAACTCAGCAAAAGGTTCTCACGAACACTTTTGAGCTTAACAACGTCTACCTGTCTGTTGTTCCAGTCTGGTAATAATGTCAATGATATTCTTGTTGGCGTCGGATTTGACACTGAGAACTTTGGCAAATGAGTATCCTGTTGCCTCATCCCTCATAGTAAGAATATATTTCCCACCATCAATTGATGGAACCTCGAAAGGTCCTATGAGGTCAGCTGCCATGATATCAAGGCGTTCGACAGGGCGATAGGAGGGAGCTAGAGGATTAATCCTCGTGCTCTTGCTGATAGCACAAACCGGACAGTGTATCTTACCGGCTGGTAGCACCACCGGTAGCCCATGGCCGAGCTTGTTTTTAATCAGTCTTCGAATATGACGAAGACTTGCGTGACCAAACAACCGGTGCCAGAACAGTAGAGACATCTCATCCTTTGTCATAGACTCAGGCTTCCATTGGAAGTTGACGGCTTTTCCGACTGGCTCTTTGAAAATTTCACTAGGCGGGACAGCTTTCGAAGCAAGGACTGAAATAGGTTTGTCAATTTCTGAATTATCAATGGTCTTATCCAGATCAGGAGATAACAAAAGATGAGAGTGAGAAAGAGGAGCAGAAGGAGATGACATTGGAGAAGAGATAACAGGGAGAGGATAACGGAAGAGACTGATGTCCACCCTTCGAAGGTCCCATTAGTCGGACATCAACCGGCTTCTGGTGACTTTGTGGTTGGTGTATTGGTGTGTTGTTATCCGGAGTGGTTGCCCTGATCATCGGGTAAGGCATACACCATCTGTTCTTTTTCGGTTCGAAAACGCAACTGAAGATCTTTGACTCATTGGGATGAAAGATATGAAAAGCTTCTGCACTATTGTCATAGAGGACAGTTGCATTAGCTTTTCGCAGAGCAGCCATGGAGATCAACGTGGCGCGGGCTTGCTCACAGTATAGGATATGTTTTAGCACAATAATTTGGCCATGAGGGCCTCGGAACTTTAAGTCTCCAATCCCGGTGATCTTTGATCCGCAACCGTTGGTAGCTACCGAAACGGGAATCGGTTTAGAGAGATAACGAAAAGAGTGGAGCAGGGATTTAGAACCGGTGAAACCGTGAGAGGCTCCGGTGTCAAAAACGGCAGGTTCACTCACAATGTCTTCTCCCAGCGCCATCGTGCGGAAATCCAAATCATCCAAATCGTCGGGGAGGACCCCAAGCTCCACGACCTGTGCCGTAACCCCCCCAGGTTTGGTCGACGGCATTGACGAGTTTCTTTGAGACTGGGATTGCTGGTGCTGATTGTATCGAGGTCGGTAGTAGTCGGCCATTTGCTTTGCTCGGTGTTGGTTGTTCGATGGGGGGGCTAGGGACTTCCGGGTTGAGTAGTTGGGGAATCGATTCGAGGTGACTTGAAAACCGCTGGGGAGTTGACCATAGATTGTTCCGACCAGGGTTCCGATCGCCTGCGAACTGCCTTGGTTTCTCCTGGCCGGCAGCGTGGATCGTTGTGGGCAATCACGTTGGTAGTGACTGTTGTCGCCGCAAGACCAGCACTTCGCCGCCGTCAGCGCGAAGAAATCCAGAGCATCGCACCAGTCGGCTTCGTCGACCCCAGTGAGAAAAATCGAAGCGTCAAAGTCTTCATCCAAAGATGTTGAGGTGAGCAGGGCTGCAGGAGATAGGACCGATCCTACCGGGCTGACGACTTGACTGGTTGATTGCAGGTGTTGCTGCCGGCTAATGTTGTATGCGTTGCAAATGAAAGAGAAAGTCGGACACGCCTTGTTTGGGTCGAATTGAATGGCATTTTCGATCCTGTTTTCGAAATCAGCCTTGTAGGGAGCATTGGACTGCATCACCGCTGCCTGCAGGATAAAACCTAAAAAGGAGTCTCCTCGGCAGCTGACGTTGACCGATTTCCATTCCGAGTACATGTCGAGAAGAGTCGACGCTATACCGGCACCTGGAGCCGATGGGTCCACCCGAAAAGCCATCAGTCTCCGCCAAATATTCATCTGTGCTGCACGGGACACAGTTTTGAATTTCTTCTTCAAGGAGAGATACATCTTGTGTGCCGTGTCGATTGATTGAAGATCGGGAATCAGCGACGAGTGCACGCTTGCAAGCATCACCGCTCGTCCAATCTTCTCGAAAGTCTTGCTCGCACAGGGTTCGAAGAAAAACTCCGCGCTCGACAGACCAGTCAGAGAAACTTCACGTAGGCCACGGATCCATTGACCGAAATTCGAGCCATCCGGTTGCAAAACGTCTTCCTTTTTCATGCCTGCGACAATCGAGGCCACCGTGGATGAGACGAGTTTGTTCTGTTTCAGCTTCAATTCCGCCAGGCGAAAATCCCGCTCGTCTTCCGTCTCACCAGCCATCGGGTTCGGTTGATGTTGATGGGGGGGAGGATCTAGTCGGAGGTGTGGGTTGGCGGGGATGGTGTTGGGTGTTGGAATTCAATTCCCAAGACTAGCCCTCGAAAGAGGAGAGCCTCGGGTAAGTTATACTTTAAAGTATAAACTTCCCAGAGTTAATCATCGTACTGATCATTGTTGCTGATCATGTACAGAGACTAGCTGTTCTGCAGAGGAACAAGCAAATGCCAAGCTCAAAGCTTGTGATTCAGGAGCTCGCATCAATGATGTCATAGCTTTAGATGATGATGATCATCGATCATCGAACTCTAAGTGAGTATCGACGATTGTGATCAGGGGAATTTTGGAGAAGTGAATCGTTGACGATTTTATCTTTCTCTCCTCAACAAAAAATCATCATCTTTAGCTTGCATCAGCTCTCCCCAAGTCACTTACGACTCATCAATCGCATTTCTCCACCTAACACCGGTGAGTAAAAAGGCCTTTTCTTATAATTAAGAAAAGAGAATAAAAACTAATAAAAGCATGAATTAATGTTCTTGGCTTTTTGAACAATGTTTAGAAACATTAAACGAAAGGCAATCATCGTATTAGAATTATCTTTTACCAGATCAATTGATCTAGCAATAGTAAACTTATTACCGCTCTTACCCGACAAACTTTCATCTCTTGTTCTTTTATAAGTGTTATTATCTTCGCAGAGCTTTATTCTGCCTTCAGGTAATAACTCAATTATTTCTTTATCTTTTTATTTATAAAATTGTATTTGCATTATAAATCATTTAACTTATAAAAGAAATGAAACCTTCAGTTCTCCAATTTTTTCATTGGGGGGAGCAAAATCTTCAGGACGTCGATTTGCACTGATGTTGACTCCAACAGGGGCAGTCTGCGCGCGATCCGTCCGGAGCACATTTGAAGGTCCTGCAGCTCCCGGCTGGCCACTGGGTCGGATGGTCTGGTCGCCTGGATTTGCTGCGGGGCCAGAACCAGCCACTGAATCAAAAAGGTTGGCCATTCGGCTGGCGCCGTCTGGCTGGTAGTTGTCCGAGCTTTCGAAAGATTTGTGGGAGCCACGGGATGTTGCTGATCCGCTTAGACTCGGACGACGTGATTCTCTGGTGTTTGCGGTGGACGCGGGGTTGGTCGACATGGAGATATGGTAGTGGGGAAGTGAGAAAAAAGGGAAGGGGATAGATGGAGAGATATAAGAAACGCGGGAGGGTAGAGATGAGGTGAGGGAAGGGTAGAGATGAGGTGAGGTGATAGAGAAAAGTTTTGGTGTTGGAAGGGGAAGAGGTGCGGGGAGAGAGTTGATAGAGGTGAGGTGTAGAGATAGAGGGAGAAAGCAAAAATGAAGCGAAGATCGGGTTTAAGGGGGAAGTTGGGATAACAGACAGGGAGAAAAAAAGGTTGGATCAGGTGGGAAAGGAAAAAAAATTTGGGCGGTGTCGGTGGGAGATAATGGAGGAACAAAATGAGAACAAAACGATAACAGAGGAAAGAGGAGAGAAAAAAAAAGGTATCAGTCACTTGTCGACTGTACGGCGTCGCTGTTATGCCAATAACAGCGACTTCCTCAGATGGCTAGTCTGAGTAGCCCTTCAGAGGATTCGCAACTTCCACCGTACAAAAGGAAGGGATGGAAGAGAAAATAGAGAGACAGGGATTATGGTCGATTTAAAATTAGATAGATCGGCCGAGTGTGAAGATGGGGATATCAGATAGAGTTTGAGAAACAAGACACGGTCCCGAGATATGATTAGTAACTGGTTGATGCTTGAGGAGAGTATATCGGGCGAAGTCACAATTAGGTGATCGCCTAAGTCCTATGATTAGTAGAAAACGATATATAGAGTGTAGAGTTTAGCGCTATAGGCTCATAACCTGTTCGCACCTCACTCGGGAATCTCGGAGAAGTGGTGGAGAAAGAGATGTAGATTCCATGAGTGTCCTTCCTCGGATCTGCATCCGAGGAGGGTATATGTAGGGACTGCGGCGAGTCTCAGGACTGTAACCCCTTGTGGGTTACAACAAATTCCAGGCAGGAGAGAAGGAAGATAAGAAAATGGGCTTGTGGTTAGTTCGCAACTTCGCATCGAACCCATTGGGCAAGTGAGTCAACTTTCGAAAGATCCGTGAAGCCAAACGTTGAAAGCGCCGCCGTGGTGATCAGTGTACAATACTTTGCTTCAATCCTCTTCTGTTCTCTCTGGCGATCCTACAGTTTTTAGTCCTCTTCCCGCCCAGCTTCTAGCTTCCCCCCTCTGTATCTTCTCTTCAATATTGTCCCTCTTTGTACAATGTCTTTATGTGTTCCATGGAGCACATAGACTAAACAGCATAGAAAATGGCCAAAACCCACCTGGCTCATCCATCAGGCACTTCGAAGTAAAGACGCCCTTGTGGTGGCAAAAGAAGTGTGGCAGTGCGGTGCTTGGGCGCCAAATCCGACAAACTCTTGAGAATGGCCACTCCATGGAACATAGACTTACGTAACTGCACAGAAAATGATGTATACTATACTGCGTACAACCTGCGCCATGTAATCGTTTCTTCATCTCAGTTTTCCTTTTGCACAGATCAGGGCTCTTTTTTGATCTCCTCGGAGAGCCTTGTTTCTCGCATACATAGAGATACCTGACCACTTGCCAGTTCTGTCAGCTCCCAGACAAGAACGATAAAATTTGATCTTGATCCAATCTTTTGAGTAGTTCATCCAAGTTAGTCATCCCCCTCCAAATTTACAGAAGAGTACAATATTCTTTAACTAACTAATTACAAAGCAGTACCAAATCGAGCAGAAAAGCTCAGGGGGGACTTCAACTACGCCTGTGGATTAGAGTCTATTTCGAAAGGCAACTACAAGAAAACGAGGCGTGAAAAATGAAATCGATTGCAATCTTTTTAATCGCTTGTGTCTTGGCTTGTTTCCCAGCTGGCAATGGTGAGCTTTCTTTGATTCAATTGAAGCTCCAAAGCTTCCAGTGCTGTTTGATTCCTTTAATCCGATTACTGCCCGAAATTATCTTCTCGTGATGTTGTTCTAACCCCTAAATTCAAAGGGGTTTTGTCCACCCAGACAGTGGCATGAAAAGATACATGTATCGATCACTAACGCTTGTCCATTTCTGCCTCAGCACGACCGATTGGTCCCCTCTCTAACGCTGGTCTCATCGCTCCTAAGATTACAGGTCGAACGCCTAATCTCGTTCCTTCGCGCCCGCGATTTGGTGATCGGTATCTCAACCGAGATAATATCTATAACTAGAAACTGGTGGAATCGTAGGCAGCGAGGGCTGACCTATTCCGATGAGGTCTTGGCTTCTTATTTCTTTGGAAACATCCCCTTACATAGTATCTGTCTATCGATTTCTCGGATTCATTGATCTCCAAGTTTTTCACTTCTTCACCTCATCTTTCATCTTTCATTTGGCGAAAAAACTACCCTATATCTGTCTAAAATCAAGTTCTTTACAATTTACACTCTTTTATTTAGTTCTACTTGATCATATACCCCGATTAGGGACCTCATTCATATTTATTTCCTTATATACGGCTTGTAAAAATTAGACTGGTTTTCTGTGTCTATATTAATGCAACCTATTTTGAGAGATTCAAATCTCAGTTCAGACCTGCCGCGTGAGTTGCTTGTTGGGCTGCTTTCTGGCTTCTTTCCCAACTCTGGAGCTCTCGTTTCAGCAGACTCGGTTTGAGAACTAGGTTCAGCCGACGTGTAACCTACACCAATCTGATGATTCTTGATCACCTCGCATCCAACGCCTGCCGTTTCCTAAAGCTGCACCCGATTCTCTTCTGACGAATGTTGAATGTTTCGGCTCGGAGGATTTGTCTCGATTCTGAGGGCATCGGTGCACCTGAATCACTCCTCACAAATCCATCGCTATAAATGTTTCCAATGCCTTGAAGGTTATAAGTTTGGTCTTCAGTGGACCATAGTCTATTGAGTACCCTAAGCCATTGTCACAACTTGGAAAGAAGACATTCAAGCACATGAACACACATTAGATATATTGAATAATAATCCGTTATCACTAGGCTTGGACAAAAATTTTACCTCTGTGAGTCGGAATGAAACCAGTGGCCTCTTTGCGGTTTGTTTGCTTGGCATTCGCTTTTTCCTGGGAAATATCAACAAGAAACGTGGCGACAGGTTCCAATCTTCACATACCTCTTTACCGGAAGCATGGGGTGCAGAAAGCTAGAAAGACCCATCCAGAAGCTCTTCAGGCCTTTGCGCTCCGGAATACTAAAGCTTTCCAGACCAAATATCTGCATTCGACGCCAAGCGGTCATTCTGACGGGGCATCAAGACAAGTCTTGAAAACACCGCGACGTTCACTACCTGATAAAGCACTTGATTCTGTTGTTGGTAAGCTAGTAAGATCTACTGTTTTTTGCACAGTGGTAATATGGGCCGTAGAAGGGCAGGACCGTCACTTTTTAGACCATTTGTGGCATTGTTTTGATCAACCTCTATTGTTGGAAGTTAAGCCGTTGTCGTATTCAACATTGTACTAATGGGCTCTGATAAATAGCTTTGGAGAATGAGTATTCAGACACGGATTATTATTCTCAAATACAGATAGGAACACCCCCACAAACCTTCAACGTCGTACTAGATACGGCTTCGGCCGATCTTTGGGTTGCAGGTACGCGCGTTTCCAAAGCTAGCTTCCCCCCTCTGTATCTTCTCTTCAATATTGTCCCTCTTTGTAGAATGTTTTTATGTGCTTCACGGAGCACATAGACTCAACAGCATAGAAAATGGTCAAAACCCACCTGGCTCATCCATCAGGCACTTCGAAGTAAAGACGCCCTTGTGGTGGCAAAAGAAGTGTGGCAGTGCGGTGCTTGGGCGCCAAATCCGACAAACTCTTGAGAATGGCCACTCCATGGAACATAGACTTATGTAACTGCACAGAAAATGGCTAAATCCAATTCACCACTTAGCGTGATCGTTTTGCGCCGTGTGGAAGAGTTTTGTGCCCTTGGATGTATACTGTATAACCTGCGGGATGTAATCGTTTCTTCATTCTCAGTTTTCTTTTTGAACAGAGGGCTCTTTTCTTTTTCCTGATCTTCTCGAAGAGCCTTGTTTCTCGCATACATAAAGATACCTGACCACTTGCCAGTTCTGTCAGCTCCCAGACAAGAACGATAAAATTTGATCTTGATCCAATCTTTTTACTAGTTCATCCAAGTTAGTCATCCCCCTCCAAATTTACAGAAGAGTACAATATTCTTTAACTAACTAATTACAAAGCAGTACCAAATCGAATAGAAAGGCTCAGGGGGGACTTCAACTACGCCTGTGGATTAGAGTCTATTTCGAAAGGCAACTAGAACAAAACAAAGCGTGAAAAATGAAGTCGATTGCAATCTTTTTAATCGCTTGTGTCTTGGCTTGTTTCCCAGCTGGCAATGGTAAGCTTTCTTTGATTCAATTGAAGCTTCAAAGCTTCCAGTTCTGTTTGATTCCTTTCGGTTCCTGCCCGAAATTTTCTTCTGGTGTCGTTCTAACCCCTAATTTAAATTCAAAGTGGTTTTGTCCAACCAGAGAGTGGCATGAAAACATACATGTAGCGATCACTAACGCTTGTCCATTTCTGCCTTAGCACGACCGACTGGTGTCATTTCTTACGCTGACCTCATATCTCCTAAGATGACAGGTCGAAGGCCTAATCTCGTTCCCCCTGTACCCCATCCGCGCCCGCGAGTTGGTACTTGGTATCTCAACCGAGATGTCTCTGAGTTTAACTAGAAACTGGTGGAGTCGTAGGGAACGAGGGCACGGATGGAGGACGCACCTACAGATGGAACCTCGATATCTGCGACCCATTGACCTATTCCGATGACGTCTTGGCATCCTGTGTCTTTGCAAACATCCCCCTAGTATCTATTTATCGATTTCTCGGACTCATTGCTCTCCAAGGTTTTCACTCCTTCACCCCATCTTTCACTTGGAGAAAAAAACTCCCTATCTGTCTAAAATCAAGTCCTTTACAATTTACACTCTTTTATTCAGTTCTACTTGATCATAAACCTCACTGAACCTCATTCATATTTATTTCCTATACGGCTTGTAAAAAGTAAACGGGTTTTCTGTGTCTATATATTTATAATACAACCTAATTTGAGGGATTCAAATCTATTCAATTGCGTCATTGATCCTAAATTCAAAAGGTGCTAAGGAGGTTTATTCTGAGTTGCATATTATTCACCGCCGACGTGGTGAAGATATATGTCCGGAAGAGTGGGTGCATCAAGCGAGGTTGGATGGGCGAAAGGAACCTTCTGCCAATTTGACGACTGTGATAGTATCGAGTCGGTCTTTTCTTCGCCACTAGCCGACAGGAGGATAGACCAAGGATGAGTTAAGTATGCAACTCTTGTTTCCTAATCTTGCGAGCCCTGTAGAGACAATCTTGTCATCGTCTCGAGACTCATCTTTTAGCGGCGATGTTGCGCTTGTGGTTAGTCTATGCTCGATTTCTCTTGAGGCTGTCTGTGGCACTCCGAAGCGACTCAGTTCAGACCTGCCGCGTGAGTTGCTTGTTGGGCTGCCTTCTGGCTTCTTTCCTAACTCTGGAGCTCTCGTTTTAGCAGACTCGGTTTGACAACTAGGCTCAGCCGACGTGTAACCTACACCAATCTGATGATTCTTGATCACCTCGCATCCAACGGCTGCCGTTTTCTAAAGTTGCACCCGATTCTCTTCTGACGAATGTTGAATGTTTCGGCTCGGAAGATTTGTCTCGATTCTGAGGGCATCGGTGCACCTGAATCACTCCTCACAAATCCATCGCCATAAACGTTTTCGATGCCTTGAAGGCTATAAGTTTGGTCTTCAGTGGACCATAATCTGCTGAGTACCCCAACCGATTAAGAAGACATTCAAGCACATGAACACATATTAGATATATCGAATAATAATCCGTTATCACTAGGCTTGGACAAAAATTTTCTCTCTGTCAGTTGGAATGAAACCAGTGACCTCCTTGCGGTTTGTTTGCTTGGTATTCGCTTTTCCCTGGGAAATATCGACAAGAAACGTGGCGACAGGTTCCAATCTTCACATACCTCTTTACCGGAAACATGGGGTTCAGAAAGCCAGAAAGACTCATCCAGAAGCTCTTCAGGCCTTTGCGCTCCGGAATACTAAAGCTTTCCAGACGAAGTATCTGCATTCGACGCCAAGCGGGCATTCTGACGGGGCATCAAGACAAGTCTTGAAAACAGCGCGACGTTCACTACCTGATAGAGCACTTGATTCAGTTGTTGGTAAGCTATTAAGAGTGATATGGGTCGTAGAAAGGCAGGACAGTCACTTTTTGACCATTTGTGGCATCGTCTTGATCAACCTCTATTGTTGGAAGTTAAGCTGTTGTCGTATTCAACATTGTACTAATGGACTATGCTAAATAGCTTTGAAGAATGAGTATTCAGACACGGATTATTATTCTCAAATCCAGATAGGAACACCCCCACAAACCTTCAACGTCGTACTAGATACGGGTTCGGCCGATCTTTGGGTTGCAGGTACGCGCGTTTCCAAAGCTTACTTTCGCTGTTTGTTAGACTGAAATAGAAAAACTGACTTGTTTATTATGTAGGCAGAGAGGTCACAACCTTAAGCGGAAGAGGCGGGGTGGAATTATCAGCATCATTCTACATCTCAAATTCTTCCAAAACCTTCAAGAGTTCTGATGAGAGGTTCCAAATCACATATGGCTCGGGATCTGCTTCTGGTATCGTGGGTATGGATCACATACGCCAAGGCCCATACTCCTCTGTCGATCAAAAGTTTGCTATTGTCAAAAACATTTCATCTTATTTACTAGCAGATCAAATATCAGGTGGGTGGGGAACTTTATTCTGGCTCAATGTGTCCCTAACTTTATTGACAGTTTTATGAAATCTCTTTTTTCCCTTACATATATTGGTAGGTATCGTGGGGATGGCCTTTGAGCAAATATCATCAATGAATGCCCTGCCGTTCTGGCAATCGGCCAACATTTCGATGTTTTCTTTCGGAATGACCCGGTTTTGCGATGTTCCATTTCCCAGAGTGGTAGAGCCAGGTGGACTGGTGATGCTCGGAGGTGCAGACTCAAGTTTATACTCAGGAGAAATCAGTTTTGTGAACGTTATCGATGAAGGATATTGGGCCATCAAGATCGATGATATTAGCGTGGATGGGGACGTAGTCGATGGCAGTGAAGGTAACTCGGCCGCAATTGATACCGGCACTTCGTTGATCGGAGGACCGGCCGTGGTAGTGAGAAATTTATTCAGCAAAGTGACCGGGGCGCGTCCAGGCACAGGTGCATACCAAGGTCAGTGTGTTTATGATTGGCTTTCGTCTAAGTGAAACTTCAAGGACATGCAAGAGTTAAAGTTAATTCTGAATGTTTTTTTTGGTAGGGTATTACACTTATCCTTGCAAATCGAGTTTTAATCTTACCCTTCGTTTGGGAGGCCAAGTGTATACGATTGATCCAGTCGACATCAACTTGGGGTCGATTGATGGAAACCAGCTCGAGTGTTTGGCGGGAATTTTCAGCATCAATCAAGCCACGAAGAAATCCAAAGGCGCGCCGAAAAACCCTCTGCCGGATTGGATCCTAGGTGCCGTATTCCTAAAGAATGTCTACAGTGTATTCCGGCGTGGACCGCCGGCTGCAGTGGGCTTTGGAAGACCTTCATCAGACTACCAAGTCTTGTTGGGCGGCGTGGACTTGGATGGTCACCGAGGTTTGCCAAGCGAAGTTACCAACCGAGCAACACAAATGCCGACCAACTCAGGAACCAACACGTATTCTATTCCATTTAAGATTTCAATCACCAGATCATTACTCTGCCTATTCCTCTATTCTTTTTTTAATCATCCTAACTCATGACCCAGAAAGTCATCATTTCTGTACAAATTACGCATTATTTGGAACATTTCTTGGATTTGATTCAAGATCAAGACAATAAAATTCCGGAGTTGATCGGCTCTTATGATCAGGATGAGTCATCTACCATCACATCAACTTCAAGTGAGTCCCGAGTTTGAATGCGCTTCACCTGATCTCAGATAAGCTATGAGGATGAGCATTGCCCTGCTGCTTGCAAGTCGCCTGCAATTGTGTCAGTACGAGACTCCGAGAGGGTCAGGGGGAGGGGGAGGTTTAGAGAAGGAAATCGTCAACTAGAGTTCTCGCTCGGGACCTTCAGCTAGCAGTGTGTCTTGATCATGCCGAACACAGTTGTCTGGCCGGCGCGAGCCACCAAGAACATCAAGACAAAAATCTTCCAGTCCGAAGAGCACCCGGTTTTTGGTTGCGGAGGTTTTGATTCGGAGATGTTCATGGGGATGATCTTGATCTCATGATGTGCTAATTCTTCCCACGAAGAGAGTCACAATACCAACCGATTATCACCCAGAACTTGAAGTTATGACTGCATATATCGTCATCCCTCCTGATAGAGCAAAATCCGAAAGTTGAAGCTCTCTGCGGCTGGATTACCAGACATAAGATGGAGCCACTCTTCCCGGAGAGCCAGCCTCCACAAAATTTGTACCCCTCCAACCTTTTGCCTTTATCGAGCCTTTCAACTCACCGTGTGGGAAGTCACTGTATATAGCTTTCTCTTATTATTTTCAACGGGCAATTCCTTCCACCAACCGCCATGTACTTTGCTAGGGCTTATATTGCGTATGCCTTTGTTCTCTTTGGTAAGTGCCGTTTCCATGAATCTTCTTGGACTTGTGGGCCACTTATCGACTTCACCACATGGATGGTGTTATCCTGTCAATCAAGGATATTAGTCCTGACCTTTTTTCTTCTTCCACTTCTGCAGCTTCCCTACAGCTTACCTTATCCTCTCGGATTTTAAACCCTCGAATGTAAGCCAAATCTTCACCTTCGTACGTAGATTGATGAACCCACGATTAATAGTCATCTAATTTGATGATTGTTAAAGTGATGAACCGAGCAGCAAACTCGTCGGAAATCCACACATTCCTCGCCGTGTCAACCCCGTCGCTTTGGCAGAGCCCGGAAAGAGGAGTTTGTCGACTAGGTACGACCGCTTTCTGAAGAGGACTACTTCGGCATCGCATTCCTTGCATGTCTCTCGGGGTTATGCGAAGTTGTCAACTAAGAAATCTTCGGGACCTACAATCCGGGCCAACAAGTGGAACGAGAAGAGAAACGAGTCCACTGCAGACAGTCATTATGGTAAAAACCTTTGAACCCAGTTCTTCGAAATACACAGAAGACCATTGAGTCTGAAGACAATCTGAAAAAAAGTCAACTTTAGCGGATTCTAACCCTCTCATAGGGTCAGGAAAAATCGAACTTTTGGACTCCCCTTATGTTGTAACTTGTCAGATGTTCGACAGTTGTATGTTCGGATTTGGTTCTTCAAGCTTGCCTGCACAACTTATCCAAGAAATAAATAAATACCTCCAAATTCTTTTTACCCAAAGAAATTAAACATTGAAGTCGAAAGAAAATACATGCGTCAATTCTTCATAGGTTTTTTCCTCTTATCAGTCCTATCAGCGGGTGCGGTGCCCTGGTCTTGTTGAAATACTCGATCCGCTCGAGATTAATGAGTGTGCGGCGGATAGGCCAATTGCCGGTCTGCCGTTGAATTCATGGCCCTGATCCCTAACGAGTGATCGTCTAGAACTTTTGATAATGGAAAGCTTCACAAGTTTGAACCTTTCGACGGATGAGTGAGCTTCCCTGCAAAAATGGTTCGATCGATGAAAGTCTTCAGAATAATAGTCTTGCCAGTCTCGTTACTTGCTCTCCTCCTCGGTCACTTCTTCTTTGGCGAGACTCAGCTGAAAGATGGCTTGCTCCATCTCCTCCGAAATTTCAATCAGCAGTCCATCAACGGCCACCACCAAGCTGCCTACACGGGATCGCTCATGGGATGGTTAGGCAGTCAGCCAAGTGACTCTTCGAGTTTATTCAAGCAGCACTCCCAGTCTTCGTTGGCTGTTTCGCCTCCTCCAATCAAGCTTTCTGCCTCCGATCGACCACCGCAGCTAGGTGGAAGGATCCGCTCGGGCCATCTAATCGCCAAAGCGTATAGGAACGCACTCAAGGATATCGAGCTCACCGTATTCACTCTGGTCAATCGCGATCCCATCTTCAGTACCGCAGAATTCAAGGCTGGTACGCTGGGTGTTCCGGGCACGGGGATCCGAATCAACGACGAACGCCGAGCTCTACAAGCATGGCTGGATTGCACCTCCGGGGAGGGCGAATGGCGATGGCAGCCGACCAACGACGGACCCGAGCCGCGGACGATGACGGTGCATAAACAAGGCCCACTCGAAGCCAAGTGTGAGAGGGCGTTCTACGAAGGCCACCAACTGGCGGCCAACCGATCGAGATCGCCGGACGACTGGGACGTTCGAGCCTCTCTGAAGTTCCAATGGTATCCTTCGTCGCGCTGCGAGGCCCTCCGGCCTGGAAAGCTCCACAGTAGTCCGCGGCTCACTCGCCGAGCCTTATGTCGCTCGTTGTCTAAAAAGAGCACGCTCATTGTTGGTGATGTCTCTCAATACGCATTGCACGACCTTCTGTTGGATTGGACAACCACCAAACAAGCTTCCTGTGCTGGGAATTTGTACTGCAAAATCCATCCTATTTGCTCCGACGAATTGGATCCTCGTTGGATTGGTAATTCGAGCCAATTGGAAGCTGGCGAACTCGATGCTCACGTTTACTTCAAAATCCCCCCACAACCTTTCAACCAATGTTTGTCCATAATCGTCTTAACAGTTCATTCTTTTCTCCAATATTTCCCCCGACATTTTTCACTGACTGTTTGGCTTTTTTCGACCAGCTTATTTCGTCAGTAATGTCACTCCAATCGACCATCCTAGTTTAGCTCCCCTTAGATCATCAATCCGATATCCCAATGGAAGTCGCACATTTCTACGCTACAGACGTTCAGATTCATTATGGGGGTCCTCAAGCCCAAGTCATGCTCGATTCCAGCCAATTTGGTTACATCCAAACAATGGGATCCGAGACATTAACAATTGTGAGTGAAGTTTTCAAAACACTCTTATTATACAAACAATGATTAACTGTCCTCCTGGCGTGTGTGTGGGTGTGTTCGTGAATAGTTTGGTATGGAGATGTGCGCAAGTCAGATCTGATCATCCTTTCCAGACGACCATTAGGGCTACCACGACGCTCCCAGATGAGCCAAGCTTTCATCCATAACAAACACTTACCGTTGAGCCATTTGGAGTATCTTCGCAAGCATTCACGGAGCCAGGTATGGAGGGCGGATGTGAGGTTAGCGGCGGAGGAAGGCTCGGATGGTGTTACGGCTGCAGTCTCGTTGATAAGGATGGCAATCAAGATGGTCATGGAGGTCTGGCTTCCTGAGGTACTTTTGACTCTGAAACAGCTTCAGAGGAGTCATGGGAGGGCAAGCAAGTTGATCGTTTGGCGTGGGGAATGGCGGATTCATGGAGATTGTACCTCAACTAGACTTCCTCAGAAAGCCAACGATGGATTTGATTGGGATCGGTGGTGGAAGGACCAGCCTTCACGGCCAGGGGATGGCAATCGACCCCATCCAAGCCCACCCGACTTATTCTCGATCCTCTTCCCGAACCACCATCCTCCTACAACAACAACCAGCAGTAGCAGCAGCAATGATCCTCAGACGACTCAGGAGAAGTCGAAGATCGAAGATCTCAAGCTCAAGAATCCTCGACTGGTCTTCCACAACCTTCAGACCATCTTTCAAAACCAGTTGATGAGGAAACTTGGGCCCGAGTTTGGGATCCCATTCCTTGACCTTGAGTCTCAGGCTAGTGTCTGGAGGACCGGTTTGGTGGCTAGTCCTAGTATGGCTTCTCGACCCCATTCCGTTGCTCATTCTGATTGCTTTGATTATTGCTTCCCTTCCCCTGGGCTGACTCTTGAAGAATCTTTCTTGGGTGGACTGTTGAAAATCTTATCCGTCTCTGGTTGGAATAATTCAAGTGGAAACAGCTAGTCATAATTGAGTCTTTGATGGTATTTGTTACAAGGTTGTAAAGGTTTTCCTTAAAATTAGATATTGGTGTGACTCAATCCAATGTAAATAAGAAAGAAAACCCGTGATCAAGGTTTAAAATCCTTGAAAAAGCTGATTGATTAATTCAATGAATGACTTCCTGTTGTACTCTAGTCTAAATTGATTAAGTTAGAAGGACATTCTAAACTTAAGTTTCTGGTGAAAATCAATTGATATCAAGTTTTCATCAGCAAAGAACCTCCATCAATGGATCCATTTACATAGGTGATGAGACACTAGATAAAATACATGATCACTAGATGAAAGTTGAAAGTACAGTCTCCTCCCAGATGTTTATAGCCATCTTTTTTGAGCTCCACAGCGGGAACCCAAAAACTTCGAGTCACAAAAGTTTGTGGAATGGTGGAAAATGGGTTTCAAAGAATGAATATGAAAAAATAATAATAAAAAATAAGATTTTAAAGTTTGTGAAAAAGATAAAAGAAAATCAACTTTTTTTGAAAACTTTAATTCTTTGTTTGAGTGAAAAGTGAACACACAGAGGGCAAGTTTGTAACATGAAAAGAATGATTATAAATGAAAAATATTGATCCAAAAAAAGTTTCAGCATGGTGGGTGGACACCCTGCAGTCAAAATCAGTAGATTGCAGTACCAGAATGCCACATTTCTTGATGAATGACCCCCTAGGCACCCTTTTTAAACCACCAAGTAGTCATTTTTTTCCAAGTTTTCACTTCTTATTATTCATTCCAGACTTCATATTATCACTTTGGAGATTTCATCTTTTCCTGAAAGAAATATTAGAGCTGTCAGATTTTGTGATTTTCTCCTTTTTACTTTTTACAAATTTTATAATCTTGTTTATCATTATTATTTTTTCATATTCATTCTTTGAGACCCATTTTCCACCATTCCACCAACTATCGTGACTTGAAATATTTGGGTTCCCGGTGTGGAGCTCAAAACAGATGGCTATAAACATCTGGGAGGAGACTGTACATTCAGCTACTCATGGTCAACGTCTACCACCTTGTGATTTTCCAGAGCCTCCTGCAGAGGACAAAGGAGGCACTGCAGTAGGAGCCCAGCAAGCCCCCCCAGAGGGGGGTGTTCAAAACGGTAGGCTAAAGTGGAAAAAATCCCAAAAAATATATGTCTGAAGAAACTTGAAAAAGTTACAAATTATCATTTTGGGCCAAAAAGGTGCTCTTGAAATTGCACATTTTGTGAGGTATGTGAAACTGGCCAAAACCAGTAAAAGCTGGAATTTGACCCCCAAACCCAGAATTAATTTGGGGAACCCCCTCTTCTTTTAATTGTGGGATATCAACTCAAGCATACTCTTGAAAGTGGTATGAATGTGCCCAAAAACAGGTATGAATTTTGCCAAGATCCGCCCTATTGGGGAGCTTGCCAGGGTCCTGCTGTACACCATGCGTGGAATTTGGAATTTTGGATCCAGCCCTGGGATGAGATTGTCCCAAGTCTGTCCCTGTAGTTCCCAAAAAAGGAATCAAAAGAGCCTTGTTGTGATTTTAAATGGATGTGCCTGTGGAGCACACCTGGGACATTTTTTCTTGTGCAATGTCCCCAGAACACCAAAGACTCAAAGTGTACCTGTGGTGAAGTCCATTGGGAGTAAAGAAGGAGAAGAAACAGATCCATATCCATTTTTCCTCACTGCCACATGTAGTCAAGTGATCATTCATTTCTCCCAGTGAGAAGTCCTCCAGCTATGTAGCTGTGAATATTGTCAATGGTGCTGGCTGCTGTGTAGGTGTGTATTTAGCATAGTAATGAGGCTTTTTGTCTTAACTCATGTAGATGGGGTGATAGAGGATTCCTTGAATGAATCTACATATTCAGTGTAAAATTGGAACACTCCAAATCTTAAAGAGTAGTTACAATACCAAGTTCTCCATGGTAGTGGGGTGGTTGCAGGATTGAGGAGTAGTACTCTAGATCGGGGGTTTCCTGAAGCTGTGATTGGCTCTGTGACAGGTAAGCCCTACAACCCCAGTCAAACGGTCAACAAGCCAACAGTCAACAAGAACAGTCAACAACAACAACCAACAACTGGAAGAATGGATATCGAAGAACGAGAATCAAAGGAAAGAGAACAAGAACGAGAAAGAGAAAGAGAAAGAGATCCATTCAGGAACTTCGACGAATCAAGATCATCATCAACCATCACTCAACTCAACCTAGAACAACAATCAACACTACTAGAACAATCTCAATCAATCCTATCAATACTCACCAGACCAACTACTACCACCAACAACAACCACTCAGACTCATTCAATCAATCAGCATCATCATCACAAAACTCACAATCAAATCATCCACTCCATCAGATTCAGGATGGAGGACCACCTCAGAGTATCATGATCGATATCGACTATCAACAACAATCAAATTCAAAATCAAAATCAACAGCCCAAAACCAGCAAACAACCGATGATCAAGGCTACCAAACCGAGAACTCATCATCACCAACACCATCACTCACCAGGCATCAAGAACAAGAACAAGAACAATCAGACCAACCTCATCAATCCATCCTACATGACCATCGACCACCTAGCTCACTACTACTACCACCCAACCATCATCATCATCAATACCCTAGGAGTAACCTAGAAGAAGAAGAAGAATCAAACAACCAAGCAACACCCTTCCGATCTGGACTACTCTCCAGGCTCAAACAGATCTGGAATCAAGAACGTGATCAATACTTCTCAAACCAACAACATCGAACCAGTCACCAACTCAACTCATTCTCTCATCACAATCAATCTGCCAGCGATCGAGAACAGCAAGGACAACATGATAATAACCTACAACAGGCTCATCAAACACTCGGAGCAAAGGAGATGGCACTCTGGAGATGGGTCAACGTCGATGATCTCGACTCATTCCTCCAGGACGTCTATAGCTATTACGTCGGAAATGGGATCTGGGCTATCGGATTATCCAGACTATCTAACCTAATGTGCCCCATCCTTCACTTCTGTATTGATTACTCTCATGAAACTCCAGTTTCTTATAACCCTTGGTTTGCTTTAGGACAGTCGGGTTCGTCATCGGTTTCTCCATCTTCCTCTTCGGATGTATCGACTACTCCATCTTGAGATCTAGTCACCACTTACACGAAGTCATCGTCCCACAATGCGTCTCAAGGTCTGTTTTCTCATATGCTTCTCTGCCTGATTTATGTTTGTACTCAATTTCTTGCTTTTTTTTACACAAATAGATTCTCAGGTCTTGGTTTGCTCTTGGTATTGGCCTTCTCTGGCTACTATTCTTGGAGAGTCTTGAAGTTCGGTCAAGAGATTTCAAACCTTTGGAAGATGCATGAATTCTTTACTGAACTGTTAGAGGTTTCAGAGGTACACTTCTTTTTTTTCATCATATATATATATATATAAATACAGCTAAACTTAACAATTCAAACAATACAGGCAGATATACAAACGATTCCGTGGTACCGCCTAGTTGAACAATTGTCCCGTTTGAAAGATCAGCATCCAGCTACGATAGCTACAGGAGAGAGTGAAGGACGACGACGAGCGATGGGAACACCTCACATGCAATCTGTCTTACAGAGGAAGCTGGATGCACACGACGTAGCCAATCAGATCATGCGAGAACAAAACTATCTGATCGCGTTGTTCAACAAGGATATCTTGAACCTCAGGCCGCCCCTACCCAATTGGATGGTCGGCAACTTCCTCATCGCTGAGAAGCATCTCACCACTTCTCTTGAATGGAACCTCCTCTTCTCACTCCGTGGGTTCCTCCTCGATCGTCGCGGTCAGGTCAAGCCCGAGTTTCTTGTCTCCTCCAGATTCGAGCCTTCCATGGCTCTCGGGTTCGTCTTCGAAAACCGAATTTCAAAAATTGATCAATGCTTATTTTTGGCTCCCTTCTTAGTTTACAGAGACGATTCAGATTGATGGCGATTATCAACTTGATCTTTGGGCCATTTATTGTGATCTACGTTCTTATCTATTCATTCTTTCGGTACTTTGAAGTCAGTGGATGGTTTTATAACAACGTTTGAGCTTTAAGAGAACTAAAAGTCTGGCCGTATGTCCGATCATAGGAGTATCACAAGAACCCAGCGTCGATCGGCTCGAGAAGCTTCACCAGATTGGCCCAATGGAAGTTCCGAGAATACAACGAGCTTCCTCATCTGTTTCAGGAAAGACTGGTCAGTAGTTGTTGTCTCTCGAAGCAATATATCGACCAATTCCCGAAGACGAAGACGACGATCCTGGCGAAGTTTGTGAGCTTCATTGCGGGCTCGTTCGCTGGAGTCTTGATCCTGTTATCGCTGTACGACCCAGATGCATTCTTACACTTTGAAATCACGCCGGAGCGGAGTGTGTTATTCTACATCGGTTTGTTTGGCTCGATCCTGGCGATCTCCCGAGGAATGATTAAACAGGAGTACGAGGAGAAGATCGAGCGACCGGGAGATCTGATGGAACGGATCGTCGGCCTAACCCACTATCTACCTTCTCATTGGTATGGCAAACTACATGGACTCGATGTCTATAACGACTTCGGCCAGCTCTTCCAGCTCAGAATCGTCAACTTTCTGAATGAACTCATGAGTATCTTGCTCACCCCTTTCATCTTCTGGTATAACTTTGACCTTGATCGTTGCCAGCGGATCATCGAGTTCTTCAGAGAATTCACAATTCATGTCGATGGGATCGGTTATGTTTGTTCTTTCTCGGTCTTTGATTTTAATAAGTTAGATCTCGATGCTTCTGTAAGTATTTTTTTCTTGAGGTCAAACTACCGAACCGAGGCTGATGTTTTTTCATCAGCCTGGTCCAAGTAGCAATCCAAATCAACCTCGACATCCATCTGACACACGCCATGGTCGTCCGGCGGGTCAGCACCAGCACCAGCAGCATCAGCATCATCAACCAACGATGGCCAGTGTGCAGCAAAACGACATCAACAAGATGGAGCGATCCCTGTTAAGTTTTGTAGCCCACCATCCGAACTGGGAGCCATCGAACCAGACCGCATCGCTATATCTCTCGAAAGCGATCGGCTTCTCGACCGTTGTCGGGGACTCCACTTACCATCCCCAGCCAGCTCATCTTGCATACCAGCCCAATCAACAGCCCTACTATCCATACCAGACAGGCTCCCAACTCGGCTCGCCCGTCCGACATCGACTTGTACCTTCCGTGGGCAACAGCCATTACCAACAGCCCCGGAACGGATATCTGGCCCCGAACGGCGTACGTTCCTCTCTCGCCGGCCAAAACTCACTTCTGGGTGGCGAAAGCATGTCGGGCCCAGTCAGCCATTCCTTCCTCAACTCGCGTCCGTCCCAGATAGGTCTCCGCAGTCGGGCCAGTCGGCCGGCCTCACTTGGCCCTTCCATGGGCACCCACACCCGTCCCATCCATCACACCTCCTCTTCCTCCTCTTCCTCATTCTCGGCAGCTCCAGTTGGACTGGGCTCAAGAAGGACTGCTCCGGCTGGGAAACAGGCTATGATGGGCGTCGAAGCTATCGATGAAGAGGACCCCTCCTTGCTTGTCCCCAATCTCAACAACAACAATCCTCCTCCTCATCCTCACCCTCCTGTCCAAGTCCATAACTCTCTTCCTACTCCTGTCAATCATCTCTCGGCTCTCTCGGCTGCTGTAGATGAAGATGATCCTTTCCAACAACCTTCATAACACTTCCCTTTTCCCCTCCCTTCCCCCTCTTCCATCAAACACATATCTTCCTTTTTTTTTTGATGGGTGGTCATATGCATATGGCAAGAGTTGGTGGACATGGATCTTTTACATTTTGTTTAGAGTCTCTTTGACTGAGGTTAGGCAGAGGAGAAGGGAACGATTACTATTACTATTACTATTATTGCTACTATGTAAGAATTGTTCATCAATCATGTACTCATTTATTTATTTATTTTTGAGTTTGGTGTTGTAATAATAATCTCAATGAAAAACAAGAATATATATATATAGAGAGAGAGAGAGTATGTAAAGGTATGTATGTGTAATACATCTTGTTGTTGTTCTTTGTTGCTTACTCCTTTCCATGACAATGACAATGATGATGATGATGGTGGTGGTGGTGGTGATCATCATCATTATTGTTGTGGTTGTTGTTGATGATGATGGGGTTGGTGGATGGAGATAGGAATTTATCTTCTTGTTGTGTGCTGTGTCCCAAATAAATAAAAAATAAAAAACTGAAAAACTGAAAACAGTGGCAATTTGTACCCAGGTATAATTACAGGTAACTGGGTCCTGCTGGTGCCATTAGCACCTGGACACCATTGGCAGTTAAAATTGGGCACTCTTGGTGGTAGGTAGGCCAGTACCATTTAGAGTTGCCCATTCCTGAGGCTGAACCACCTCAGATCTTGCTCCTTGACAGCTGAGGTGGGACTGCAGTCTCAGGTTCAAAATTTCAATCATGGCAGTCCCATGCCGGTAAACACATCCCCTCATGAATCTCTACCTTCAATCCCTCCCTCCACAGGAATATACAATAATTGTATTGTTCTAGTTGAAATCCTTACTTTGATTGATTTGTCAAGATGTAAACAATTGATTAGGTATATGAATTATAAACCATAAGAACTAAATTCTATAAATCAAGATCTGCATCAAAACAGAAAGAAGAAAAGAAAAAAAGTCTGGGATTTTGTTTTTTTCTATCTCTTCTTGTTTTTGTTGAAAGTATGAGCAAGGATAGAATGATAATTAGAATAGAAGACCAATTTATTGATCAATTCGACCAAGGTGCCATTATACTTGTCGATATTCTTACAATTCTTGAACGCTTTCCCGTTTTTGTCGATCCAATAATGGAGCAAATGACAACAGAGAATGTACATGGGTTTTTTGCGATTAGTCATGACGGATGCCGCCCGGGAGCGTTTGTTCTGGAACTGGAAGAGCTCAGAAAGCTTGGCTGTCCATTTTGTTTGCGGCAATCCCGGCGAATTGTCTGCAATGTCTTGCCATAATTGGCCGATGAATCGCAAGATCTTTTCGGATTCTTCTGCCCCGAATTCTCCTCCTTCTGCTGCTTGATGTTCCTTGAATAGAGCAAGATAAATGATGATTAACAGATGAGTAGTTTTCGTTACGTTCTCGACAAATTGGATGATCGTTGGAAGTCTTGGTACTTGTACTGGATCCAAGCAGCTGTCATGCTCCAGTTTCAGTCGGTCCTTGATTCTTCCCAGAAGCTCATCTGCATAAAATCGGTTCTCAGCAAGCTTGAGTTTGCGGTCTGAGATCCTCAACAGAGTCCGCATCACAAGCTCCTTTTTCTGGTCCTTCTTGATCCCAGATTCGTCCTCAAACTCCGTCCTACTCGAAAGATACTTCTTCAGGAAGCCCATCGCTGACTCTCTGGTGAGGAAAAACGAGGCCCGTTTTTCGGGCACACTTGCGTCTTGATCATCTCCCTTCAAGTTGTTCAGAAACTCGAAGAATTTTCCTGGGTACTCGTTTTCTATTAGGTCTTGTCGCTCTTCTGTTATAAATTTCCAATCATTTACGTTGAATAGTACTCCTTTTTTCTGGCTTTCTTCGAGTCCAAAATGATCCACTAATTCTAATTTAATGATGTTATCCTTTGTATCCTGATCTGCTACTGGTTCTCCTTTGACATACATTATTTCAGTCTTGGAATGTGACTGGCTTGCACCCCTGGCACGATTCCTTTGGGCTAAGGACTTCTCACTTTCAAGAAGGAATCGCTTTCCTCCTTTGGCTAGGGTGTTTTTAGCTCTTCGGTTTGAGGTTGGAGTCTCTTTTTTAGTAGAAGCATAACCGATAGGAAATGTCTCTTGCTTTGGTCTTTTGGCTCTTTGATTGATGAACAAAGCGTTGTTCTTGCGCCTGAGAGAAGAAGTAGTTGAGCACTCACTTCTGGGAATCTCATAGTGTGTCAATGGTTCTTGATCCCCTCTGTCCTCCGACTTGATCACTGGGAAAGAAATGGTTTGGTGGAAGGAATGTCGAGCTTCGGCCATCATTTCCTGCTCTGAGGACTCGTTGTTTGACCCATCAAACCTCTCCAGCACTGGGCAGGAGGTGATTGGTTGTGAGCGATAGGAGTGGAAATCTTCCTCTAGAAATTCATTCAAGTCAAACGACTTGGCGTCATCTTCCTGTGAGATCCCTAGTTTTAATTCAAGTGGGACTGTTGAAATGCGCAACGTCGAGAAAGGAAGATGGAAGACCCAATGAAGTATTATGAACCAGCGTCTCATGATACAAAAAAAAAGACGACTTTGTCGGTTTTAATGAGATCTCGCTTGTGCTTTCCCAAGTGGAAAAGTCAACAACCAGTTTGGGTATTTATGTGCCGAAAGACCTGGCAGATCCGGGCCCTCATTTAACGCTGAAAGTATTTATGTACGCCTCTGACATTGGGTGGAGTTGTCGACGTGCTCCATTGCATGTATTGATGCCCTCGGTCAAGCATTTGTAACCATCTTTAGCCATCCAACCTTGTACCCTGATTTCGGATAAATACGTGTATGACCGGTGTTTTTGGTTGCTTGACTCTGTCCATCAGCACAAAAAACCCGTTTTGGGTGATGTACCGTAACTCAACAACACCCTTCACAGCTCAACCCACCATCGCAGGAGATCGACCGCGCATATTTTGACGATGCGGAGTCAATGAACGACCTTGGGTGCGGTTTACAGATCCTCCAGCTCAACAAGTGCGACTCCTATATATGTGCACGACGACTGGAGCTTGATCTGACCCATTTTGATCTAATCATGATCTAGTTGACCGAATATTTATAATTAAAAAAGTTGGGTTTGTCGTATGATCTGACTGATTACATAATGACAGGTTTCATGATGACTAACGATGTTTTAGTTTGCGATAACGATCACAGGGGAGGGAGGGGAGAAAAAGCTATTGGATCAGACCTCGATTAATAATTTAGTTCAGATCATCAAGACGGGCAAAGTGAAGAAAGAAAAAAGAAAAAAAAGACAACAAGAAAAAAAAGAGAGGAAAGAAAGAAAGGAAAATAAGGAGAGCCTGGAGCAAATACATAGCATCCGATTTGTGTAGTTAGATTTATTTACATGCATGTGTCCGTGTTTTGATGCATGGACACCTGGAGAAAGAGAACAAAAACTGAGAAGCCGGAGGTGGATTTCTTGGGTTCTTAAAAAATGTCAGGGTATTTGAAAGGATTAAATTTAGTGGGGTGACTTGAGAGGAGACAAAGAAGAATTGGAAATTTTTACTTCTTATGAAGTGCGTAATCGGAAGGTAGAAGGCTCAATCCAAACGGAATATGAGGCTTGAGCTGTTGAGAGTTGAGTTGGATATGGGAGAGGGAATTAGAAGGAGGCTGAGGATTAGTGCAATCAACACGCGTGGGTTGGAAGACTTCGACGAGATGGACGGCGGGTGGTCCGGGTTGAGGATCGGGGATGATGGCCACATTTTGGATATCCAGATCGGCCCATTGTTCGTTTGTCGGCAAAGGCTTATCGAAGTATCGGGCTTGGAGATGGGGAGAGGTGGAGTCGTATTCGTAGAGCTCCCAGAACTTTTCGCGACGTCTGTCGAGCGCCTCATCGGGAGAGATTGAGCGGCCAAGGGAGGGGCGCTTGTTGTTGAAGTTGAGGTTGCTGGAGGAAGATTGGCGACTGAGGGAGGTATGGAAGTGGTGATGTTTGAGTGGACTGGTGCCTAAGAATGAGCTTGCGGATCGACGGATCGGACTGGTTTGCGTGTTCTGTTGCTGGCTCGAGAGTGGGGTAGTCAGTGGAGCTTCTTGAGTTTTTTGTGACAAATAATTGGCCGAGGATTTGGCCATGGCGTCTCCAAGTAACCAGGCTGGATATTTCTCGGATCGGATGTAGGGCAGTTGAGGTGATGGTAGAGGGGGTGGGGGAGAGATGCGATGTTGACGCGAGATCTTTAAACGGCGAGTTGACTTGCTGGCTGGGTGATGGATGAACGGATCGATGGACATCGAATGGTCCTCATAGTCTTCGTCAGGCGACATAGCCTTGGAAGGCGAACGATTTGGTCTCCTCTCGGTGCGTGGGCGATTCTTGGGATGGGTGAAGTACTCCATGTCATCAAACTGTGGATTCAAAAATAGTTGCATGATTTTCTTAGTTAATGCTTATTATCGTTATTGTTTTTGTTGATGTGAATTTTTCGAATGAGATCTGGGGTATACACATGTATCTTTACTGACCGAGATTTGAGCGAGTAGGTTGGACCTTGGGGCTCTAGTTCGTAGCCGCCGAGTTGAGTTCTCTGCTCCGGAGTTAGTACCCTGTCAGACCGAGACAGTCAAACCAAGCCGGCGTGAATATGGACGTTATGGTTTCGGGTTCGGTGAACGGGTGAGCCGGAGCCAGATGTTTGATTGGAGTTGGAGTACAAGTAACATATGCACATTAGAGGTGGAAGAAGATAAAAAAAAATTAATGATAATAGGAAAGCAGATGAGTAACTGAGACCATCCTCCGTAGGTAAGGGAGACTGGAGGGTAGAAAATAAAGGGGAAATGTGCTTACCAGGGTAGGTGATTGGACGGCAGAATGGGCCATCATCGAAACTTGGCAGTGTATGTACTTATTCCTTTATTTATGTGCGCCAACGAAGCTTAAGATTTACGATGTTGGTCAGGTCTGACTCTGCAATCGTATCTGTGTATTGAGGCTGTATCAAGCAGTCACCACTATAAAATGATAAGCTCAGTCATCAAAGAGTACAAACTAACAACCAAGTCCAAGGGAGAGAGAGAGATCTAGGTAGCAGTAGCAGAGCATGAACTTGACTCACCTTCAACCCCTGATGAAGACTGTAGACAGACAGGAGCTTATAAGATACCCACCCACTAATAATGGTCAGGAGACTCAGACTGGGTTGAATCAAAGCAGTGGACCATGAACAATGGAAGGAAGAGATCAGGATGTTGAGCTGGAGCAGAAAGGGAAACCAAGATTGACCTACAGGCAGGGAAGAGCTGAATGGGAGAGAGGTGTAAATCAAAGTTCTTTTATGATGAGGAATGAGTTTGAGTTGGTTTGGAGTTGGGAGGGACTGCAATTTGTAGTTTTGAATTCTGCTTGGGTTGGGAGCTGATTTGGGTAGGTTTGGATTATTTGAAATTGGGAGTGGTTGAGCTGTTTTTGTGTGTTTGTTCTGTTTTGGAACAAGCCCCAATGGAATACAGTATGGATTTAGGAGTATGGATATAGGATACACAGCACCGCTGCTTTTTTTCCCCAATGTTCTGGAAGCTTCCATGACAGCCTAAATTGTTCTAGTGTATTATGTAGACAACACAGCAACACAAACCGTGGTCGTCAATCATCCCTTGCATCATCAACCGTGGGCACTATGCCATGGATGAAATCAGAGCAATCACCACAGTATGTAGTCAGCACTCTCAAATAGTGAAACCAATGGTGGGTAAGCTACACTGACTTGAGTGTTAGAGCATTCGCATTGGTTGGGTTAAATTGCCGGGTTAAGGCGAGTTAACCCAACCAAGCCTGTTTGCACACTCACATTGATTTGAGGTTAGCAATGGGTTAGTTAACCAAAAGCTTGATTTCAGGTTTGCGGTCACTAACCTGAAACTTAGAGCAACTCCACCGCGGGCTGTAAATTGGGGCCGTAGGTGGAATTTACGGACTTGACACGACCCACCGCAGTCACTAAAATCTACGGCAGTCCATAAAATCTCCTTGCGAGTCCTCACATGTAGGGACTCCTAGGGACTCACCTACGGCCTACATACAACACTTTCACACAACAAAAATATGTGAAACCCAACCCTCACACACCACACTGACCTTGGCAGCACAGCTGTCATCAAATTTTACAAACCACTCCTCTGAGTTGCGGTGTATGCCGCAGCAGTTTGAGACTGTAAAACTGGCTGCGTGGACCTGATCATCAAGATTTTACGGCCCGGAAGTAGGGGCCGCGGTGGAGTTGCTCTTAGCGATTTTGCGGGGAGTTGTCCTCCAGGGGTTTGTTAACCCAGACGGATGTGTTTGACGCCAGTAGGCTAACTAACCTGGACCTCCAACCCGGGTTTCCTAACCTAAAACTCAACCCAACCAATGTGAATGCTCTTAGGCGCAAACCTGCTAACAGCAACTCAAAAACCTTTTAAAGCATCCGCATTTGTCACCAGCTTAGTGCAGATCAAGAGCAACTACACAGGGGTTGCTAACCCACTTTCAGGTATTAGAGCATCTTGACCGGTTGTGCTAAAAGCAAGTGATTTAAGCTTGCAGCTATCACTAAGCTACAACAGCAACAACAATCCAGTCACATCAGTGTGACTTGAGCTTAAGTTGTGATGGATGGTTTGAAGTCAAGCTGTGTAATGGATGACTTCCCAGTGCAATATACAACCCTCCCAGAAGTCAATTTACACCCCTTAGATCTATTTTTTTTTTCAACAACAAAAGTATTTTTTCTCAAGCCTTTTAGCAATAGCTCTCAGGTGAGCTGTTTGAAATGTTAATTGTGTTGTTAATTTAGGACTGAGAGAGGTCTAAAAAGCCTTCTAAATCGTGACGGGAAGTCCTCCAATATTTGCAGCAGGGCACCAAATTGAAGCACACCCATGGGCGTGTCCTTTTAGCTAGCTTGCAAGACGCAACGGTTCAACAGATACAAGACATGAATCCGTATCAGATTGTATTGTCTTTATTTTGCGCCTGATACCGGTATCAGTATTTTCTTGGTTGGTGAAAAAATTTATTGTCTCAGATTCAGATTTCCAAATGGAAAAAAAAATTGTCTTCATTTTTTTTCTTTTTTCTTCAATACGGCCAAATATCTTGGGTATCAAATACGGTTTTGGTGGGATCAGTCATCTGAGACAATACAGAATACTTGTCTCACTTTTCAAAGACAATACATGTGTATGGTCTCAGGAAAGTGAGACAACACAAATCCGGTATTTTTGGGTATTGAAATTCTGAGACAATACAAATAAACGCCTGATACCGTCTCGTATGGTCTCTGTTGCACCGTTGCAAGACACACTGAAACAGAGGCAAGACACGTATTTGGTATTTTTGTGTATTGTCTCTTTTCTGAGACAAATACCTGGTATCAGTATTTCCTTGGTTGGTGAGAAAATCCAACATCTTGGATTTATGCATGTTGACCCATGCAAAAAAAAACTGTCTTTGTTTTTTTGTTGATACAGCCAAATATCTTGTGCATTGAAGACATTTTTTGGTGGGATCAGCCCTCTGAGACAATACACAATACTTGTCTCACTTTCCAAAGACAATATGTGTGTATTGTCTCAGGAAAGTGAGACAGACAGGGATTGGTATTTTTGGGTATTCAAATTCTGAGACAATACAAATAAATACTGTATATTGTCTTGTCTTGCCTCTGTTTCAGTGTTGTTGCAAGCTAACCATTGCTAGATCCAGCAACAGGTAGCTGACATTGGAGCCCCAAGTGTCAACAGGCAAGAGTGTAACACCTGTAGTAACACTCTTGTGACCGTGACAAGTAATATAAAATATCAACTAAGAAACAATAAGAATAATACATAATTATAAGTATGCAGAGTTAGAAAGTTGTAACCACATAATAAATACAAGATTGTGAAAATAGAGAGAGAAAACACATAAAAAATAAATAATCAAAATTACATAAGATAGAAAATTGATGAGATCACAACATTAAACAAAAATAGAAGATTGATGAGATCATAAACAGACAAACAAATAAGTGGAGGTTTGAATAAGACAAACAAAACATAAATTGTGCTGAGTAGAGACTCACCTAAAAAGAAATAGGCTACCTTGGTCTAAATGAGGACGCTTATTTAAACTTGAGCTATGAGCTCATAGTTTACATATTGGGGATAACCCCAAAAGAGAAGCCAAGAATATTTAAGGACAAGACTTGAGAGCTGAAGGAGAGTCTTCCCCTTTTTTTCCTCAGAGTTAAAGAAATCAATTACTTATAAATATACTATAAATCCAACTACTTTGAAGAGCATTCACTAAAGAGTACAACATTTAGAAATACCTCTTGACTAGAACATTTATACTCTATATTATAAATAAAACTACTTTAGCCACAGCTCTATTCTCCTTACAGTGCAAGTTCTGGTAGCTTGAACTGTTATCAATAGCCTGTTATCCCAATCTAGTCTTTCCCAACTCGACAACTAGTCTGAGTATTGGATTACCCTGGCTCCTTGCTTCAGGAAGCTTGAGTAAGTCTCAAGAGCTTTTACCTGAGCCTCAAAAGAAAGATATTAACCTCTATTTGATTCTTCTTAGTCTACAGCTAGAACACTACAATTCTCCCTTCCCGTAAGTAGTATAAGCCTGACGCCAACCTAGTTTATCTTGAGCTTAGCTCACCCTGGTGCGGTTGAATTTTGAGGCTGAAGTCCTAATTAGCTTGCGCAGAATGAGCCACCAGTACAGATGCTCTTAGCAATCCAAACTCAAAAAGCTTTACCCACTGGAGTCATCATTTTAAATTTGCAGAGCATCTCTAACAGACCCGCAATTGGGCACTTAAGAGACGATACAAGACGGTATCAAGCGTTTATTTGTATTGTCTCAGAATTTGAATACCCAAAAATACTGGATTTGTGTTGTCTCACTTTCCTGAGACAATACACACGTATTGTCTTTGGAAAGTGAGACATGTATTCTGTATTGTCTCAGATGACTGATCCCACCAAAAAATGTATTTGATACACAAGATATTTGGCTGTAATGAAAAAAATGAAGATGATTTTTTTTCATTTGTAAATCCGAATCCGAGACAATAGATTTTCTCACCAACCAATAAGATACTGATACCAGTATCAGGCTCAAAATAAAGACAATACAATCTGATACAAATACTTGTCTTGTATCTGTTGCACGTTTGCTTGGGGGCAAACTTTGACAGCCCAGGTTGCTTTTTTTGCTCCAATGGCCCGGCAAAACAACCCTTGACTTGTCCCCTGGGGCTATCCTGTTTTGTGTAGTGTAGGATAGTGGAGGACTTCCTGTTGCGGTTTACAACCCTCCCAGAATTGAATTTACACCCCCTAGATCTTAATTTTTGGTATAATTTTTTTTTCAGAAGCCTTGTGAAGATAGCTCTCATATGAGCTGGTTAGAATTATGATTGGGGTGTTAATTTAGGACTGGTGAGGGCTTAAAAAGTACTGCAAATGGTGATGGGAAGTCCTCCAGTGTTGTCCAAAGTTAATTCAGAAAATGGTGCTTTTTCCTCTTTTGTATCTGTCACAATCAACACTGGGTCACTACTTTACGCTGCGTTATCCAGTGTATCTGAGTAGTGTAGTGCACCCAGCTGCTTGGCTGCTACTTTACTGCTACACTAACTGCAATTTTTTTTTCCTGGGCTGTAGTGTAGTGGGACCCTTTTCTGAAACCCAAAAAAAAACGGATAGTGTAATGGTTTCACCCCTGGATAGTGCGCTACTGCACTATCCTGTGGCGTAACTGGGCCCCTCTTTTTTGAGAGCACCAAAATCTGATTTTTTTAACATTTTCACCCCTGGATATTGTGTTACTGCACTATCCAGGGGTGAAACAGCCCTAATCTGATGAGGAAACGGTTCGGCCTTGTCATTTAAGGGTCCCAACCTGCTAGCAGCTATCTGTCATCTTGATTCTTCACAAAAATCATCTTCAAGATTATTTAATATCATCCAATATTAATTATTATTTAATTATTATTCATCTTACTTGCTCATATTAATGTTTCTCTCTCCTACGTTTGTCTTCCTAATAATAATTTTTCTCTTGTCATCTCCTCTCTACTGTAATGCAATAAAAAATACAAAAAAACGGCCGCTGCAATAGTGTAGTGGCCAAAAAAACAGCAAAAAAAAAGAAAATGATAATGTAGTGCGTTTGCGCTACAGGAAAAGTAGTGCTAGTGACAAAAAAACACTACTTTACTGCTACACTACCATTACTGGTAGTGTAGTGACCCAGTGTTGTCACAATGATAGTATTTGTTTTGGTAAAAAATATTCATGGAAATTGAAAATGTTTGATCCTTTTTTTCAGTCAATGCATAAGACATATTGCTTATTCACTTTGGGGAATCTTTGGTTTTGACTTGTGTTTATGTTCATTGAAAAGATGAATCTGTTTGCTGTTGGGGGGGGGGGGTTTAAACCAACAGGCTCAACATTAGAATTAGAATTTGTTTTGGATGAAGCTGCAATGGAATTTAGGATTGGCACATTTGCTTAGTAAAATAAGGAATTCAAAACCCTCAAACATAGTAATGATAATACTAGCCACTGTTGGATTACAGCTATAACAAGAAAGCTTGCGGGCTCCAAAGTCAGAAAATAATAATAATAAAAATCTACCAACTACAGTTGGAAGTTTTGGAAGAATACAGGTTCATCATTCATGTATGGATGCATTATGTTGGGTGAAATTTGCTATCTTTTTGTTCTCTCATTTTCAGGTGATGAGAGTAACACCATAGGAATCCTGATGCAAACTTTACTCCAGTGGCCTGCCATCTCTGGCATGAGCTACTGCTGAGCTCCCCCCATGGGTGCCGGTCAGGTCCCATTGGTGCTGCTGGCAGGTATATGGCAACCTGTACTCCTGTCTGTATTCTTCCTAACATTCCGACTGCAGTTTTTTTTGGATATTATGACTCAACAGCCCGCAAGCTTTTTTGGTTTAGCTGTAGTCAATCCAAATTTTCATGGTGTGCAATTTCAATATATAGGAAACTACACACTACATCAAAAAAGGAATATTTGTTTTCTCTGATTATCAGAATCTGTTGATACAAGCTTAGTAGATCCCTATAAAACACGGTCACATTTGACACCATAACCCATACTGGTCTAATAATCCAGATTTGAATGATCATCACCAATAACCAAGCTACCACTACATTCCCACACCATTCTATAAAATTTGGCTAGATTTTTAACTTTTTCTGATTACAATATCTAATTGATACGGTTGTTTTCGATCAGAAGTTGCGATTGGAACGATTACGATTCCTTAGAGCTTGATAACCCTACATTGGCGATCGAAAAAAAAAATGAAAATAAAAGCAAGGATGCTTGTTAGAATAGAGAAGCAGTAAAACAACAGAGATTTTTCAGGAGCAACGAACTTGAAGCCAGTATTCCCCGTGCTCTTTGATCAATGCAGAGATCAACAAGACCGTGGTAAGAATGATGAAACTGACGACGATCACTTGATCTTTAGTTGAATCGCGTTCTATGTTAGATTAGATTTTGAAAGGCAAGGATAACACGTGGGAAATCAGTGTTTTCATTTCATTTTTGGATTAGAAGAGCAGAGATTAGATGGCCATGAAAGAGGCAGCTGCGGCCGTGGTAGAGAGAGATAAAACTGGAAGACAAACGAAAGCATTTAGTCCTAATATCCCCTTCGTCTCCCGTCCCGGTATCCAGATTAGTATTCCCTAACTTGGCATCTTGACAGATCGATAGCTTCTGGTCTAAACAGAACTGTTTGGTACAAGTTAAACAAGGCTTTGATACGTCCTTCGGTCGATATAATGGTACTATCGTATAATTATTAAAGCACATGCATTTGCAAACTGTTTGTTCGGATTGCAATCAGAGATAGAATTAGCTCTACTTGTGTTCTTTCTTTTTTTTCGTTGACCAAAGAAAGTTTTCATTTGTAGCTTTAGAGGAAAATAAAGAAGACTACACTGACACGATATATCAGCGACGCTGAATGAAGTCAACTTGTGTTTTTGATTAGGTGCAAGTCAGCAAGGATATTAACCACATCGACAAAGAGATCAAAAACAAATTATCAGCAAAATTCCAATCATGACGTCGATCAATTAACGAAGAAAAAAATTATCACGTGGACTCACCTGAAGTATGAAGAATATGAAGATCGATGTGTAGGCAAGGTTTGAGCGAAAAGGCGGCTTGAAAGAAGACGACAACAACGAGATCAATCTCATCATTTCATCTCTTGGTTGACGTAATTCAGTATAGGAGAGAATGGTGGACAAGGATGTTTCTCTGCGGGTTCCAAAAGATGAAGCTGTGACAGCTCTGTGACATTTTAAACATCGCGAGTGGCGGGTCGGGTCAAACGTCTGCTCCGGAATTTTGTCTTAGTGAGATCTAGGAATGGGTGTCTTGGCTATAAATCACTCAAATTCCGGTGTTCCACCACCACTTCTCAACTGCCATTTCCTCAACTTTCATACTTTCATCACAAAAGATAATTTTCAACTCTTTCCATGCCAAGATGCCAAGTTAGGGGATGAGGGAGATTTCATTCTGGAGCTCACCTCCAACATGTTACAAAATTGTCTTACTCCCCTCTACCTACATTTTAACCAGGATGGAATAGCACAAACATTTAACCTTCAGGTGAGTACTATTTAAGATTTAGCTATACATCTTGGATACACATCCCTGGTTTATGAGTGAAGATGATGGCCATGGGCTCATGAGATAATATTGAGTTCAGATGCAGACCCTGCAAATCTGGAAGAAGCCATGCAACCTGCGGATCAGATCAGGGGTTAAGATTGGCTTGGAGACATCTGGTATCTGGTTGGATGATCAAAACCCACAGAAAGTAGGCTATGCACAGGAATCACCCATGTATAAACCCTGCATGGGGGCTAAGATATCACATTTTGAACTCAATCCCCCCCGTACCCCCTTTTTCATTTTATTTTAGCAAAAAATGCATCAAAAAAATGAGGTCTAATATCTGGAAAACCCAGGCTCTGCACCAGATATCCACAAGCAATGCTGCAACAAATCCAATACACTGTTTTTAATATTATCATGAGGGATTGTACCAACATATATGGCTAAGGGCCACATTAAATGAATAACACTCTCAATAGAACCAAATTGGTCATGAAATAAATTACATCAAGGCCATGATACATACCAAAACATTGAAAATACTGTATTTTTTGCAGCATTGCCACAGGGTAAGGGTGCAGGATGGGTGGGATCTGGCTTGATTCTGAAGCACTGGACCAGAGCCCTAGCCTCTGCCTCCAGGCAAAGCATAGCATGGTGGTATTAGACACATTTTTGTGGACCCTCGAATACCGATTCGTCGAATATTCGAGTATTAGCAGATATTCGACGGAAAAAAACTGAAAAGTTGTTTTTTTGGTGTTTTTGACATTATGTGTCAAAAGCAGAGGTATGTTTCATTTCAGGCAGTCAGTCATACATATAATTTGATATATATTAGACTACATTAGACTACTTGAATGTTCATGTATGGGTTATTGAGAGAGGAAGTGATGAAATAAAGAAAAAAAGACAGATAAAAAAACTTCTAGTCATCTTTAATGAGATTATAAGCTGTATCAACTAAGTTACCACGGAGCCAAGACCTCATACACATATTTGATTCAACTGAGTCACCTGAGAGAGAGACTCTCTTTACTGAAACTAGATTACCGGACTGAGAGAAAACCCGTTCGCTTGCTGCTGAACTGGCTGGAATCGCAAGGTAGTCCTTGGCAATCATCGATAGTGTTGGGAGGACATACTGATTCTCCTTCCACCAATCGATGATGTCTTTGTTGAAAGGGGGTTCAGGCATTTGCATGTAGGTTGAAATTTCATCGTTTAGAGTCGGCTTTGCGGTTTTCTTGTAGTTTTGTAACGGGTGGAATGTTTCTTTTGCTTTTGTAGTCTTGGTGGCTGAATCGGATCCCATTATGTCAGACTTTGCTTTCTGCTTGACTGGACGTCTTGTTGAGTAATCCTTAAGAGTTTCTTGTAAAACGTTCATCGCTTGGTCTTTGAACTCGATCTGGGTCTCGCAATTTGTATCCGAGTTGTTGTCCTCTGCATTGTTATCTTTGGGATCGAGCGGTTGTTGTTCAAAGAGAGTTAGCTTGAAGCGCGGATCCAAAACGACCGCAAGTATAGAGTGTCGGGAGTGGACTGAATAATAGCCTTGGAGCTTCTCAAGAGCAGCTTTAGCTGCTTCGATCATGACCGATCTCAATGGACGACGAGATCTGGTGAACTTCTTGATGGTGTCGTTGCAGTGGTCCGTGAGTACCTTGTACCATGGGATCACAATTGTGAGAGTCGCATAGAATTTGCCTTGGGTGTCTATTGATGCCTGTTCGAACTTCTCCAAGAGCTCGTGAATCCACTCAAATAGGTTCCAATCATCATTGCTTATGACTTCCTGTTAAAATTATATGATGGAGGTCGTCTTGCGTTAGCAATGGAGCCAAGTGATATCAATTGAAAATAATTGATAAGAGGAATACTGACCATCTCTCGAGCTTTCTTATCATTAGCCTCCCGCAATGCATCCATAACTTGAGTTGGGCCAGAGGCAGTCTTCCCCTTCTTCTTTGATTTCGATTTCGATTTCTTCTTGTGTCCTTTTTGACTAGCTCGGTTATTCTTCATGCACAACGAGATAAGATCGTCAATCACAGGTCTTTGAACAATAGCGAGATTGAGCATGTTGAAGGTGGAGTTCCAGCGTGTGGCATTGTTGATGATTGGTCTTGATTGTTTGACGTTGTTTTCAAGGCAAAGACCCTGGAATGTGCCAAAGACTTGATCAGACTGTCGGATGTGTAAGATAACTGCTCGAAGTTTGGTTAATGAAGCCTCAACGGTTTTGAGAACTTCGTTTGCCGCAAGGTTGAGGATGTGGGCGAAACATCTGATGTGACATTCAGGAGAGCTGAGGAGTTTGGAGTCAAGGGCGCTCTGGATGAATTTGTCGTTGTTTGAAGCATTGTCTAAAGTGATTGATATGATTTTCTTTCCCAGATACGAGAGATCATATATGTCATTCGATGGGGATGTGTTCTCAAGTGCAGCTCCTGAATCGCCATCTATGTTCTCATTGGATTCGGAGTCATTGGAATCGGATGAGCTAGAATCGTTGTCAGAATCATCAGAGTCGGAGATCACCAATGCTTTTCGTTTTTTCGAAGTCGAGGCCAGTTCGTCGCAAAAGAACTCTTCAAAGATCTGGAGGATTTTGTCGTGGATGTTGGTGCCAGTGTGCTTTTCTCGGAAGGGTTTGAAGCCGATGGTTGCTGAAGTTGCCTTCCAATCCTTTGAGATGAAATGACAAGTAAGCGAGATATAAGGGGTTCCGCCAGCTGAGGACCAGATATCGGTCGTGAAAGAGAAGCGCTCGGATTGGGTTTTCAAGAATCTGAAGACAACTGGTTTACTATCAGCATAAAGAGCCTTGATTCGACGGGAAACCGTATGCTCGCTGAAGATGGTGATACCCGGGTCAAGACCATGAATCATCTTGATGAATTTAGGGCATTTGACTTTTGCGTAGGGGAGCTGATCCTCGATGATCCAGTTGATAATGTTAGTGTCAAAATTAGCCTGCCGAGACTTGAGCATAATCTGTTGGAGAGGTCCTTTGGCTTGAGATGTTGACATTGACTGGGAACCGGAAGTGGCAGGGGTACCGGAGCTGTGTGGAGTTTCAAGGCATTCGTCGGGATTTTCGGCCGCTTCAAGGGCAAGTTTCCATTCGCCGGGATGCTTACGAGCCACGTGATTCACAAAGTTGGTCTTGGTTGACTTGTTTACCACAAGCGTATCGCCACAGGAGTCAATCAAGCAGGCACGTTTGCCAGATTTATCGGGGGGACCAAAAAACGAGCTCGCTGTCACTGATTGATTAACGACCGCCGATTTCGCTTTCATGGATGGTTCCGTAGTAGATTTGGTTGAGGGCGGGGGATCACTGGAGCTTTCCATGGTCGGGGAGAGAGGTTAGTAGTTGGTTGCGGTTGTCTGATGCCTGAGGTGGAGCAGGATATCTGGGATATCCTATATCAGCAGCCTATGTATAAGGCGGGTAGCGGGTAGGGGTGTGTAGGGTCCCCGTCGCCCCATATACACTCTATGAAACCTCCTCCGGGGCCCAGAAGGCCCCAGATGAAAATTTATTCCATTATTCGATTTCAGTCGAATATTCGCACCAAATTTTAGGTGGGCATTATTCGACTCGAATCGAATCGATTCGAGTATTCGATTTACTATTTGATTCGAAGTGCTATGGTCTGCCTCCAGGGAGACTTAGGTAAGGTAAAATTAGGGGAAAAACAAACTTTGGTTTCTTGGTGAAAAAGTGTGGTCCAGACCTTCCCCAAGATGCAGTTATGTCTTCATGCCCATGATCTGGCCCACTCTCATCAGTCTGCACCCTTAAGTTCTCCATAGCAATTGTTTGTTTGTACTCGGTGTAAGACTCAAAAGTGGTTGTGAAACCCTTTTGCTGAATGGAGAAGGGGATGGTGGAGTTGCAAGCTCTGCCCTTCTATGCTATCAGAACAACAAGACCACCAAGCTCAGCTTGGCAGTTTATATATCGTGATAGAGGATAGTTCGAGATGAAGCTGTTGAATGATTCGTATAACGGTTAAAGGTGTTGATGGTGATTGTTGATGATGATGTTGTTGTTGATGAAGTTGTTGATAGAGGTGTCAATGATTGTTGTCGAGGTTGAGGCTTGAACGCAGGTCCTTGAGGTTGAGGGTATATAAAGTTAAAAAGAGGTGATTTGGAACCAAAGAGCTGGTGCTGGGAGCACTATGCTTCAACCAGGAGTGGAACAGGGGACTAGGCACTTGGTATGATGATGATGATGTGAAAGTGTTATGAATATATTGCGATAAAATAAGGGTGAATATATAACTGTGACCTGTAATATAATGCGTGGTAATTGTAAGGGTGGTTGAGATGATCTGGTCCACTGAAGGGATGATGAAAGGTACAACTGGCAGGCAGAGGCCTTCTTATATAGACAAAAGTGAGAGATTCTAGCTCCAGGGTACCTGCATCTGAGAGATTTTAGCTGGCCTGAAAATACAATGAGGAAACTTTAGCTAGTCTAATGCATGCAGCTGCAGGCAAATTGGCTAGTGAGAGCACTGCCCTTGAGGGAATTTTAGCTAGCTTACAAAGATCCTACTACAATATAAGCCAGTAAAAGAAATTCAATAGGAAACAAAGGAATTTCAATATGAAATATGCATCCAGTATTCAAAATGAGACGTGATCAGAGATAATAATAAAGAAAAGCTCCTGTGACAGCTTGAGATAAGTGTAACTTCTGAACTAGTAGAGATAAGAGGGTAGTTGTAGTGAGTGACTAGGCGTTATTTTACCTCAGGAATCCATTTTTGATGTTATTTTTACCCTATCTTCAATATTTAGAAAGATAATAATAAATTTTTTTATATCTTTGGCGTAGAAACACAGGAATAACTACCACATCGGGTACCAGATGGTAGCTAGGTACCTGTTGATTTTTTTTCAGAAAATAGGTACCACATACCGCACCTGGCACCTCCCAGAGGTACTTTTGGCGGGTACCACAGGTACCTCCCCTCTCTTTCTCATCTAGTTTCACTCACAGAGTCCCAAGTCACCGTGAGTCTGAACTTTTATATTATGGGATTGGTTTTTTCCCATTCCAAAAACCAATCCTAATAATATCAAATTTCAGACTCACACTGTGCCCGGATCACTTTTCAGGTTTTTTGTAGTCATAGTTCTGAGTAATCAGCTTGATATTGTACTAGCATTGATTTTTTTCAATCTTCTTGAAAGATAGGAATTGTGTTTTTCAGGATGTATGAGAAGCAGTTCCACATCATCAAGATAAGGCCACTGCAATCCATCCACAAGAAGTGCCATGTTTTTTTGCCTCTTCTGCATTAGAGATGTCGCTCGATACCCGGGTACCTGTAGCGGGTGCGGGTACCTGCCCCAAAAATCCAATATTTTTGGCACCCGCACCTGCTAGGGCGGCCAGGGCGGGTACCCGGGTACCTGCACCGGGTACCTGCGGGTACCTGGCACATTTTTGCAGGCAAATATGCCCAGAAGTCTCACCCTTGAATTTCTGCATGACTTGGTAAATATAATATTGATATCCACTAGATATATGAGTAAGAATAAAAGAAAAATAAAGAAATAAAGAAAAACAAATTATCTTCTCTCTGATCTATCTTTAGCTTTACCCTTTTGCTTGGCTTCATTTGCCTTATTCAATTTCCATTGATGCAATACCCCAGGTTTTATTTTCCCATTCTTGGAGTAAAATGACACAACCATACCTCTAGCAACGGTGCCACAGAGACAATACAATACGGTATCAGGTGTTTATCTGTGTTGTCTCAGAATTGGAATACCCAAAAATACCGGATTTGTGTTGTCTCACTTTCCTGAGACATATACATGTATCGTATTTGAAAAGTGAGAAATGTATTCTGTATCGTCTCAGATGACTGATCCCACCAAAACCGTATTTGATACATAAGATATTTGGCTGTATTGAAGAAAAAACAAAAAAAAACAAAGACGATTTGTTTTTTCCATTTTTAAATCCAAATCCGATACAATGTATTTTTTCACCAACCAAGGAAATACTGATACCAGTATCAGGCTCAAAATAAATACGATACGATCCGATACAAATACATGTCTCGTATCTGTGGCACCGTTGCCTCTAGTGACTGATGAGTGGCTGAGTCGGTGCCTCCTGAGGGAAACATATTCCCTTCCAAAGCTGAAAGATCGCTCAACATCCACCGTTGTTGCTGTGGTAGATTTAAGGGAATTGGTACAGAAATACAATACAAAGATATGATAGAAGAAAAACTCACCCGGACAGCTTAACACATCAAGGGCCATCTGTAGCAGACCCCCGTGAGTATTCCCAACATGCCGTTGTTGCATCCACCATTTGAGGGGATCCACCAGCCGTCCGTCTTTGGTTAAGGTCAAACCTTCAGCAAGCCACAAGAGAATTGGATCCATCGGGTTTGTCCCTCCACGAGCTACTTTTGCACCAACCAAACCCGCAAGAACTCCTTTCTGAGGCTGTATTCCATTTTGAAAAAAAGTATTAGCTACAATTTTTGACAGAGTAGGAAAATGATCAGCAGTGCATATCCCATTTAATCACCTTTGGACAGGTGTTTGATCATTGTGACATGGTTGCCTGAGGTGCTGGTGGAGTTTTGTAGTGATTTTCCCACATCTCACGGGTTAGTCTGATTGATTCTTCGATCCATTCTGGTTCCCATTGAGCAAGTTTGAAGTATTTGTCTTTGAAAGAAGGATGGAGGACTGTAGAGTAACCATTAGTTTACTGTGATGTCAGCAGTAATGATGAAACAGAAAAACTTACCCATAGCAACCCGGTATAACAGTGAGCAGTCTGTCAGAGTATAGTACTTATTAGTGATATGAAGTCCAGCACGACAAGCATTTCTAATGGCAGGGGGGTAATCGTCCCGTTTATCGGAGATGGCAGAAGAAAGATGGCTAGTGATCTGGTCAATGAAGACAACAATGTCGGCAATTCGAGCTGCACCGGCAGTGGAGACCTGGAGGGTGATTTTGTAGAAGGGTTGAAGAAGCTTGACCAGGTCACACGCTAAGTCAAGATCGTTTTGGTTGATGTGATGAGATCGAGCAGGACCGTGACATTTATCCTTCTGCCACTCAAGGCTTAAAATTACAATTAACATATCTTATCAGCACTGATCATCTGATTGGTGAGGAGTTGAGTAGGAAACAAAAAACTCACATTGCTGCTGAGCATTGCAGGATACCTGACAATTGTTCAAAAGTCAAATTCCACCGTGTGCAAACGTCACGAGTGATATTGTGTGGCGTTGAACACTCAAGATCACCACAGATCTCTTTGAAAAGAGCCTTGGAATTAGGAGACTTGTTTAATTTCCTGGATATTGCTCGGAACTGATTTTGAAAGTTTGATGATCATTAAAGTCAGTAGGCAATCAAATTATTCATCAGATGGAGATGTTTGCTTACTTTGGATAATGACTCCTTGCATGATTGGGTAGTATATTGGTCCTCTTCCCCCTCATCACTCAAGTCATTCAAATGGTCATCCTCCAGTTCAACCTCGTCATCACCAATTAGATTAGAAGCTAGGGGCGCATCGTCATCTTCATTGTCGTTGTCTCCTGAAATGCCTTCGTTAAACCTACCCACAGAAAAATCAGTTACAAAAATCTAGATAAGGCTCATAATCTCATGAAACCTTCCAATTTAATTTGATCATCTGGATCATCTGGCTCGACATCTGTCTCGTCATTGTCGGAGTCTAAGTACTCATGGGGCGAGGTGCCAGCAGTATTCTTGTGCTTGTTGCTTCCAAAGGGTCTCAAGATGGCCTGAGCTATGAGGTTGAAAATGTGAGCAAAACAGTGAATCCATTGGCCTTCACCTTTCAACCGCAGCCATTTGTATGATCTCAAATCTTCAATCATTGTCTTGTTGTTACTGGCATTGTCTGTCACAATACCACATATCTACAAAGGAATAATAAGCCAATTAAAAAACCAGAAATTGTTGAATGGAAATAAAAAAAAAGCAAGAGTGGAAATTTGGAATTGATAGAGTCTAAGATTACCTTATCCTTCACTCCAAACTTCTCAACAATCAGATCAACAGTTACTGCCAAATACACACCAGTGTGGCTTTGTTGCAGCTTGACAAAGTCAAGAGGCATTGACTCCAAGCGGAAATCAGCCCCTTCTTCAACCAGACGGTATATCACCAACCCTAATACATCAAACACATTTGGGGACTGCCAGACATCTAATCCCAAGTACATTGCACCCTTATGATCCTGAGCCAATAAATTTAAATTAGAAATCATGATTAGTATTGAAACCCTCAGATGTCAGACAGAAGAGGTATGTGTTTGGATTTAAGATAGAAGATGTACAACTAACGTTAAGCAATTCTATTATACTCTCCTGCACAGCTGTGTACAAGCGGCCTATGTCATCCGATACTGACCTTCGACCCGGTAGGTTCTTGACGACAACCGGGTGTAAGATGCCTCGATGCGCCTGTTCACCAAGAGCTGAGAAAGGGCGGGCTGATTGAGCACACCAGATGGCACATAGCTGGGGTACCTGCAATAAAATGATTTAATCAAATGATCAAGTAATTTTCAGTCAAAAATTTCATTCAATCTGTCCTGGTGAGGTCAAAGATTCAGAATTTCAGCTGGGTGGGGAAAAGTAAATGCACTCACCTCTCGTGGATCAATATCGCCGGTCCCGGAGATCCCAAACGCTGACAGCTTCTGATTCTCACTAGCCTCCTTTTGTCTCTTCATACAACTTGCCACATGCTTACATAAATTTTTTGGGGAAGTGTCGTGGACTGGTCGGTGTATTTTGGTGCCACAGCTGAAAAAAAAGCAAGAAATTAGGTTGATTTGGCTGGACACTGACCAATCAATGAAGGGAGATGTGCTTACGTTTTACACGGGTAAGCAATCATGTGACGACCATTCTTGTCTAGTAGATCTGAGAGTTGTGGGGTCTCGTATGCAGCATAAGTGGCACTCTGGCGATTTGCATGTAATCTCCGGGCTTTTTCTGGAAAGACAAAGAGGAAAATAATGTCAGTTTATGTTATTTTTGATCAATCATTGTGTGAGGGTGGAACAAATTGTAGATTGGCAAAGGGCCCAAAGAGTTGGAAGGGTTGAGGATGCAGAGGGGGGAGCAGCAGGCATGAGCAGTCCGGGTAGGTTGGGATTGTTAGGGCCGGTTGTGGAGGAGGAAGAGGATGTGGGAGGAGGCGGCGGTGGAATGTTGGGTGGAGGGGTCTCTGGGATGTCTCTCTGTTAGAATCCTGATTCTCAGCCCCTTTGTGCTTCTGAACCTCTTCTTTCAAATAATCTAATAGCATTACAATCGTCAGTAAGAATCTAAATAAAAGGTTCTCAAGATTGATTTGATCACTCACCTAGCTCGTCAGTTAGAAGGTTGATTTTACGTTGGTTGGCTTGTTGCTCTTTGCGCAAGTCAGCAGATAAGCTTGACATCAAGAACTTCTCCTCTAGGGCATTAAGGTCAGTCTGATGCTGTAGCTTGAGCATCTCGATCTTCTCCTCATAGCTGCTTTTGATCTTTGCCAGCTATGCAGAAAGGGGATATAGTGGTCAGCATTAAAAAAAAAACCATCTTATCGAAACGGGTCGAATCACTTACTTCTGAGGGATATGTGATCATTGAATCCCCATCCGGAGTGCCGCTCTTTGGGCCGCCCGAGGTCTCAGGATTGGCGGTGATAGCCTTGATCTGTTTCTGATGATCGAGCTTGATCTCATTGATCTCCGCCAGATGTTTCTCTTGCAGGGCACTGAGGTTACTCTCGAATTTGCGGGTCCGACGTAAATCTAATTCGGTGAGGGAAGCAACCAAGATCTCTTTGTGTTTGGCCTTGAGGTTGTTAATCTGGTCCTCATGACGGGAATCCATGGACTTGATCTGCTCGGTGTGTTGCAAGATTAAGTCGCTCTTCTCGGCCTTGAACTTTGTACGTTCTTCTTCCAATCAATTGGTCATCAAGCGCCGCAATTCATCCAATTTGTCATGATGATCACGAATCAATTTTTCCATTGTATTGTTCCCCTGATTTGCTCTCGAAGAGAGCGTCGTCGTCAATCGGATTACCTTGCTGGCCATAATTGTGCTTGTCGTCCGTCCAACACAGCCCGGCGCATACGCTCGCTTCACCCGTCGCACCGATCCAACTCCAATGACGAGTAAAAAAAAAGAAAAAAGGAAAAAGGCTTACTCAGTTCTTGCTTGTCTGAGCATGAGGCCTCCTTCGAGTTTTGAGTACTGGCCGGCGTTTCTGAGTTGGAGACCTCTTGGCTGTCGCCCAATTCGGATCTGCATCTCCTTCGATTACAGTTTTTTTTTTCGGATTGCCGCTGGGATGCTGGAAACAGAAGAGGTTCTGGATCCAGGAGGGTTCGGCCGCTTTGTGGTGCTCCCCATGGTGGTGTCGTCGGGTGAGAAGGTGACCAGAAGGGAGGATCGGAGAGGGGGAGTCCAGTTGATTGAGGACTTGGGAATATTTCAAATTCTCAAGGGAAGTATTTTCCCAGGGCGGGTGCCAGGAGGGTACCTGCTCCGGGTACCTGCCGTTTTTCTGTCCCAAAACTCGACACCCGCACCCGCGGGCGGGTACCTGCTCAGCAAAACAGGTGCCCGCAAACGGGTACCGGGTACCCGCAAACAGGTACCTGTTGCCATCTCTATTCTGCATGCCCTCTCACCTCCTGGACTTCCCCAACCAAATTGTAAAGCTCAGCCACAATGAGGTTTGAGAGTGCAATACACCACAGGATTTTCTCCTGTTTTTTTCTTTACATAAATATCATGGGGGTTGAAAAAAAAAAACAATTGATACAAAATTTAGAGATCCAGAAACCATTCTGAGAGAGGACTATCTGACAGACATACTGTTTTGCAAAGATTGACTAGCTCCTCAGCATCCTCAGCAGTAAACATTGGATCTTCATAGAAGAACTTGATTTGAAGCTCTATGATCCAGGACAGTTGTTGATCAGAGAGCTTGCTGAAGAAATTTGAGCGGAGAAGGGAAAGTTGACAATGCCAAAATCAGACAGAAGTCTGAGAGAGGCTATCTTACTCCAGATGAGCGGGCAAAGTGCACTCATACTGGACTGAGACAAGGCTTAAGTGTTGACTCAGGACCAGAAAAAAAAATAGCTAAGAACTGCTGATTTTTAATTTCTTATATCAAGCTGGGCTTAAATAACTACATACAAGAGGGCCACTTTGTGATCATGGCATTAGAAATGTTAATGAAAATTCAATTTAAAGAATAAAGATCAAAATATTTCGAAACCTCATTTGGGAATGAGTCGCAGAATTTCAACACTTGCAAGTTCTGCCCTCATCTGACAATGTGAACAAGCGCATCAAAAACATAGATTTCTTGGCAGCTCCTTTCAT